AGACACTAATGGATTCCTGGCAAGAATGTGTCATTTAAACAGGACGTTTTTATTGGAGTGAATGACACCATTACATTAAGCACACCTCTGCTTTGTGTTAATCACCGTGTCAACAAGCGCGATTAATGGATATTACTTGTTGATACTTGGGCCAGACTAATGGCTGCGGCTTTCCGGTTGACATTGGTGTGTGTGTGTGACGAATAAAAAAAAAAAAGTTTTCTGGAGCGCATGGTGGAGAGGGAGGTTTATAAAGTATGCTAGTCACTATATTGAGCAAAGACTTTCAGATCTTTCGGAGCATCTTGAGGACTTTTGATAGAATCTGAATGTAAATTGAGCTAAATTGACGACATTTGTGGAGCAATGTTGGTACCCAGCAACCTCATATGATGTTGATCTTTAGTTCAATTTTGATTGCGGCGTTAGTGAGCAAAATTTTACGTCAATTTGCTGTTTGATACTGACGTCAGCTGGCGTTGATATTTGATTGGTTTTAGGTTTTCGCTTTAACTAACGAAAATCCAACATCATTTTATCATCCATACAACATCAAAGTCTAACATCATTGACATTTATCTTTGGTTGGTTTTATGTTGAGTTGGCCTAATTACCTGACTAAAATTCATCGTGACTTTGGAGTCTGACCTCTAACTGATGTTTGGTTCCGACGTCAACACGACTTTCATACACAACCAACATTCAAAGTTATTCTGTTGGAGTCCAACGTCAATTTTACATCTGTGTGATGCCCGGTAGTGCAGGGTATATTCACACTATATTCAGTCATTGTCTTATCACTTACGATGGAATTGAAAGTAAAGATTTGATAGCAAAATACGCTATCAATAATATCCAACGTGGTCATTTTAGTGTGGAAAAACACATTTATTTACTATAACATCAGAGTCTAGAATGGCAGCAAAAATGAGCAGAATTAAGACTCACTTAATTCTCAAACACTATTTTATTTATTTAGTTATTTATTCATTCATTCATTCATTCATTCATTCATTCATTCATTCATTCATTTATTTATTTATTTGTATCCATATTTGTTTTTCCTTATATTTCTTTCTAAAGCTATTTTTTTTTTGTTTTAACTTTAGTTAAATTTAAAATGCAATTATTTTATGAGAACATGAGTATTAAACTTTTTTCTATCTCATCAACTATTTATAATATTAATAAAAATAATATTTAAATTTTTGCTTAAAAATTGGCCCCATTAATTTATAGTGTAAGTGCTTCATTGTAACTTCATCGTGACATTTACTTTTGTTTTTAAGAAAACAAAAGACAAATCTAAACTATTTTCTGTGAAATTCAACTGCAAAATGCTTTAATTTGATCTAAGTTGAATAATTTTCTTCATTTCCCCATTTAATATCTCCTTTACATTGATTTTTTTTCTGAAGCTACTTTTTGGTTTTGAACTTTTGAACGAGTTAAATTTAATATGCAATTAATTTGCGATTACATCCGTATGAAACTCTTTTCTATCACATCAGCTAATTATAATAAGATTCAAATGTTTGCTTAAAATTGGCCCCATTCATTTATAAAGTGCTTCACTGTAACTTTGACATTTACTTTTGTTTTTAAGAAAATGAAAGATGAGTCTAAATCATTTTCTGTGAAATTCAATGGCAAACGGTTCTATTTATTTATTTATTTATTTTGCCCATTTAATATTTCCTTAATTTTTTTCTCTAAAGCTACTTTTTGGTTTAACTTCTTAGTTCAAATTAGTTTGTGATTACATGACCATTAATCTCTTCTCTAATCACCTCAAAAGCACACACACACACACACACACACACACACACACACACACACACACACACACACACACACACACACACACACACACACACACACACACAAACTGACTTGTTCACAAAATATTACTACACCCAAAAAAACATTTTTGCTGCTTGCTCTTATATAAACAAGCAGAATCAACAGTTATTGAGGTTTTTGGGGGGACAACTTAATTGTTTTTTTTTTCAATCTAATTAAAGTTAAAGTAAAGTAAAAACAATTAAGTTAATCGATTTGTGTTGGGACAACAAAGGATTTAGCCCCTTTTACACATACAGACCTTTCTGGAAAAATTACAGGCTAATTAAAGGGATCATGTGTAAACATGCCCATTTTGAAAATACCAGTAAATTCATTTCTGTAATTTTCCGGAAAGAGAAGTTGTAACATTGCCGGTAATTTGTCAGAATGCTGCTCTGAGTGAAAGCAGAAGGGAAATTGCCGGAAAGAGCGTGTTTACGTTAAGAACGCGCGGACATGAAACGTCTACTCTAGTCAATCAGAACATTCAGACACATTCACATCTGCGCTGTTTATAAAAATAAAAGCCTTTAAATATTTTTACAGTCACATTTAGCTGCTAGATGTTAGTCAGATAATGTTTCTATGTTCCTTCTTAATGCCAACTGTGTAAACAATTATCGATTATGATAAACCCAGCATTTTACGGTGTAAATGTAAACAAATGATAAAGTATATAATTCTCAAGTACCTGTAAATCTGGAGGCTAACGCAACTCATAAAGCCTCATAAAGACTGAAGACGATACACATAGATGTTCACAACGAGACTAATAACACGCTTTGTGAAAACAGTACTTGCTGACTTTACCTCAAGATGAACTCTTCCTCTAACTATTCTTTAAAGCGAGCACCTAACTTTTGCCAAACACAGCATTCCGATGCAAACTTCTAATCATTAAAATGGCACCAACAGAACACATCGTTTTTTTTCTCCTGGTCCACAGGCGGGAGAGTTCGGTATAGGGAACAGTACGGCCAGTAGACACAAGCGCTGGCTCCGACCTTGTCGAACTCTCGCTGTGAGCAAGATAAGCGGCCCTCAGGACACCTAAACACACAGAGCGCTCGCTTTGGTTCCCTCTCCACCGCCTTCTTTGTCTCTCTCCTCTGCCTGACCAACATAATCTGCTTTCTGAAAGGTCAAGTGAGACAGCGGCCCGTCAGGCAGCGCTCCGTCTGTGGGGTATATTTATGAAACAGCTGCAGGTGGAGTAGATGCGAGGTTCACTCTGGAGATGCTCGTTCTCCGACGTGTCCGCAGGAAAACGCACGCTAATATTTGAGGGGGCGAGATGCGAGTCTGTGGGGAAGCCTGCAACTTTCGCTGGTAATGAGTCCTCCTGCGTCCCTCTAAAGTTACAATACAATACAATACAAGTGTATTTATATAGCACTTTTTTACAGGAACAACTGATGTGGACTAAAGTAACTTTAAAACAGGCTGCAAACACATTAAACAAGTAATAATTGATTTGATTTTGAACTATATACTGTACATTTATTAACCTTTATTTAACCAGGTAAGTCAATTGAGAACCAGTTCTCATTTACAATGACGACCTGGCCAAGAGGCAACATATAAAGCAGATACGAAGCCACAGAGACACAAAACAATGACAATGTCACAAATGCAAAGGATAATATATAAAACCATGGAAAAACTAAAAACAAGCACAGTAATCTTGTACTACTGACTGGATTGAGTTATAAAAGTGTTGAGCTTTAAGGTCCAAGCAGCAGCAGCAGCAGAAAACTGAAAAGAGTAGCGACCAAATGAAGTGTGAACTTATGCAAAGGTTAATAGAACAACTAGAGCGCAGATTTCAACATGTTTTCTGAATGTTAAGAAGTGACTGTAAATATTGTGGAGTTTTCCCAATAAGAGCTTTGTAAATGAACAGAAACCAAAGGCCAATTCAATAAAGAACACAATTGACAGTGATGAGTATTGAATGGCGCACCAGTAACAAAACGAATTGCTGCAATGTTAATAGCATCCAGTTTGTGAAGGAGAGTTTTTGAAGCTGATCTGTAAATTAAATCCCCATAATCTAAAATTGGTAATAATGTTAATTTGACCTAATGTTGCTTTAAAGAGTGTGGAAAAGATTTATTTCTATTAATAATAATAATAATAATAATAATAATAATAATAATAATAATAATAATAATTGCTTTTATTCTAGCCCAAATAAAACAAACAAGATTTAACCCAGAAGAAAAAAATTAAGGTCAAAATTGTTTCCCAAAACAAGAAAACTTTAACAGTATTTCCTATAGTATATTTTTTCTTCTGGTGAAAGTCTTATTTGTTTTATTTTGGCTAGAATGAAAGCTGTTTTTATTTTTTTTAAGACATTTTATGGTCAATATTATTAGACTTCTTAAGCCAGTGGCCACCAAACTTGTTCCTGGAGGTCCGGTGTCCTGCAGATTTTAGCTCCAACCCTAATCAAACAGACCTGAACAAACTAATCAAGGTCTTACTAGGTATAACAATATGTATACAATAAGTATTACCAGGTATACTTGAAACAATAAATGTATAGAGATGTCACTGGGGTGGTACCTTTTCAAAAGCTACATATTTGTACCTAAAGGGTGCATAATGGTACCTCAAAGGTGTTTTAGGTACATTTGGGCACTAATATTTATGTTTGAGGAACCACTGTAGACTCGTTGGGTACAAATATGTGTCTTTTGAAAAGGTACTGCCCCAGAGACAGCTCCTGTACCTTTATTTCTGAGAGTGCAGTGTAAGCTATGAGACTACTCATCCCTGTTTTTTATAGTTCTAGCAACATGAAGTAAATCCGAAAACATGGATCTGAGTGATTTTGACAGACGCAGTAGTTCAGATGCCCCCTAAAAAAATGCAGGTTGCTGTCACCCAACATTGGGCCAAATATGGACCATCGAGTTAAAAAGAACAATTTAAATTAAATTGGAAAAAATTACTATTATTTAAAATTAAAAGTTGATGCGTATTTGATCTGACTGTGTTACAACAAACAACTCAGAAGAGCGAAGAAGCACTTATCTGCTTATTGTTTTTTTATTTTTTTTTAAGAAAGACCCCAGACTCTGAACACAGGTTGTACTGTACTGAATGCAGATATGTAAACGCTGTGTTTCTGTTTGGCCTCCCTGCAGGTTCTGCGTCGGAGACAAGTTTTTCCTAAAGAACAACATGATCCTCTGTCAGACAGACTACGAGGAGGGATTGATGAAGGAGGGCTACGCGCCGCAGGTCCGCTGACCATCCCGCGACTTCACAGCTCACAGGAGGACTTGAAGTGGACATGCAATCAGACACACAAAGCACTAGTGTCCTCTCCAGCCCCTGTCCCCCCACATCACACTGTATATACGAAGAAAGGGACGGTGTACTGTACAGATTAGCCATAGAGACGTTTTTTTTTTTTTGTAAGTCGGAAGAACATTCGAAGACGGACCAAGACTGTGGTTCTGATTTAACGACAATGCCTGACGGCCTTATGAAGACCAGACTTTTGTGAACACAAACACCAAACCCCCCACATTGCCATTAACAGGGTGAAGATTATGTAGTAAAAACAAAAATTGATCATAAGATCTCAGGTTCAATGGGTTTTCTCATTGTCCGTTGTGATTTCTTTCGTCTGCATTACATCTGAACCGGGATTTGGAGTAATTACGAACAGCCAATCAGGAGATCTTTGACGTGTAATGTATAGTTATGAGAACCAATGAGATTTCACAGTGGGCGGAGCTACTCTGTGTCCTGATTAAAATGCTTCGAACTGATCTTTGGCCTTCGACATCTTTAACAGCAAGTTCCTTGGTGACATTATGACTTTTTTATACTTAAAAAGACCCGATGCGAACATTTGTGCAAAGGAAACTATGAGTTAGTTTCTTCACTGTATTTATTTAATAGGCTTTTCGTCATTGCGTGTACTTCAAGGCTCGTCCCTGACATGTTTATACCTGAAGAGTTTTCAAGCATCTCCTCCAGACGTGACGAACACCACCTCGTATTTGTTTTTTGTTGCTTTTGAGCGGCCCATTTTGATCAGAACCCTGTTTAAACACAATCAGGTCGCATTACTGGAGAATACCTGGTCGGAGGATTTGCCTTTTACCGGGTTTTGTTTACTATCGACTCTCAAGCGCAAATCACTACTGTAGCCTACAATGTTGATAATCCTTTTATGGGCTATGATTACCTTTGGGAACCGAGGGGATATAGCCTAGAGAAAAATATGAAGACAGACTTAATTTGTATATGGTGGTTGTATATATTTAAAACAAAAAAAATATTCCTTTTTGCTTGCTATTGTATATGGATTTTCTTTTTATGTGTTATTCAGCATGAGATGTTTATTTTTAGGACGTGTACATACTGTACTGTAATCATTTTAAGCACAAATGTAATACAGTTTTATTGTGTTAGCACTGTGTGGCGGCTTTCTTTGTGTCTTCTGCTCTTTTTTTCTCTCTCTGCAAAAAGCATTTGGCACTTTCCACAAATTGGGCACAAATAGAACATGAAATGCTTAAAAAGCAAAATGTTTCTTTGCTACAAATGATTGGGGAGAAAAAGTGTTTCTGAGCTTCAGAAAAGGTTGACTGACAATCTCAGGATGCTGGATCTGAGTTTATTTTCTATTCAGTTGTTTTCTGTAACAAAAATAAAACTAAACTTTTTTTTCCACCAATATAGATTTTTGGTAATGCAGATAAATGTTTTATGTTCAACTTCAACATTTTCTTAAATAAAATAAAATACAATAAATCATTTAAAAGAACACACAACAAAAATTTGAATAAAATAAAACAAAGTAAAATAAAACATGACAAAACACACAACAAAAATAAAAAAACAACAAAACAAAATTAAATTAAATTTAACATGTATCGGAACAGAAGACAAAAAAGTTAAATAAAATAAAACAAAAAATAAAATAAAACATAACATAACAAAACAAAGCACAAAAATAAATAAAATACAATATAACACACAAGAAAAGTTTTAAATAAAACAAAACAAAATAAATTAAAACATTTAACAAAGCACAAAAAAAAACAATTAAGATAAAATAAAATAAAACATAAAAAACACATAAAATAAATAAAATAAAATAAACATTTAACACAACACAAAAAAAATTATAAAATATATCAAAACTAAATTTCACAACAGAACACACAACAAAAATAAAAATGATTTTTTTTTACAAAATAAAATAAACATATAACAGAAAAAACAAACAATTAAATTAAAACAAAACAAAATAAAATAATAAAACAAAACAAAGAGCACAAAACAAAGATTTCAATAAAACCAAACAAAATAAAATGAAATAAAACATTTAACAGAACAAAAATTGAAATAAAACTAAATAAAATAAAACATAGCAAAACACAAAACAACTATTAAAATAAGACAAAACAAAATAAAATATTTAGCAGAACAAGACACATAAAATAAAATAAAACTAAACCAAATAAAACATATAACAGAACACACAATTTTTATAAATTAAAACAAAATAAACTAAAATAAATTTAACAGAACACAAAACCAAAATTTGAATAAAATAAAACAAAATAAAATAAAATATAACATTTAATAGAACAAAAACAAAACAATAAAATAAAACTAAATAAAATAAAACAAATAACAGAACACACAACAGAAATGTAAATAAAATAAAACATTTAACAAAACACACAACAACAATTAAAATAAAATAAAACATTCAACAAAACACAAAGCAACAATTAAAATAAAATAAAACCTTTAACAGAACAAAAAACATAAAATAAAATAAATGTCAATAAAATAAAACAGAACAGAACACACAACAAAATTTGTAATAAAAATAAACAAAGAAAAGTAAATTAAAACATTTAAAGGAACACAAAACAAAAATAATAATAAAATAGAACATTTAACAGAACAATCAAAATGAAGATAAAATTATAAAAAAAATATTTAGAAATGACAATTTAAAATATTTGTAAAAATCTAACTTGTGCTTGAAGAAAATTATTCTTATATAAATTGTTAGATATATTCAAGAAGATCAAAATTGTAATATTAAATCAAGTATGCAGGCATATTCAGTTAACTATGAGCTGTTTTCATGCTAGGCTAATCTTCATGCTACAAAACATTTCTAAACTACAAAAAAATAAACAAATCACACTAAAAAAAGTACAGAAAATGGCATTTACCATCTAGATCTCTCTCTCTCCCTCCGACTGTGTAAAAAGAAAAGCTGATGGGCCGGTTTGCATACACTGTCATTTCTCAGACGGAGTGTTTACTGAAGCGATTTGGGTTTAAGTGCTTCGCTCAAGGGCAGAAGTGTAGATGTGGTGCTGAACTTCAGGTCTTCACTCCATTAACCCATCCAGCAGAGCGTGAGCCACTTCCGCTTCTCTGATTGATCACAAGTGCAATTTGTCATTTTGTCGTCCATTTTGTTGTCATTGGCCCTCAAAAAGTTCCACCCCTTTAGACTGTGGGGGGAAAACAAGGGTGAGCGGCAAAGAAATGGATTGTTTAACTGCGAGTTGATTGGTTAACGTGAGCTAAAACTAATGTAAGGGACAGGTCAAAATCTATTTAGGAATCTTTCACATTTGTGGTTTGGTTCATTTGGTCTGGACCAAGAGCAACAAGTGATACATTGTAGCATTTTTCTGCCGTTTTTGGGTCCTTTTCACACCACACTGATTGCTTTGGTCAGAACCAGTTGTAAAGAACCAAGATGCAGTCATCTGACAAAATCCACATCACTCACTGGCCAGATGTTATTGAACGTATTTCCTAAACTGCGTTTTTATTGGTCAGAATTAACATGCAGGAAAATGCCAATGGAACTCCCGCAAGTAAACAAACCGGCAGACACAAAATGTCACTTTTTACTATGGAGTAAAAAGTGGCTAAAAAGTGGCTGATGTATCCCTGCTCATAGTATACTATACAGTTTGTATACGTCACTTTAGACAAACTATACATTGCGAGAATGAAGCTCAATGAAGCTCAATGTTTTAATGCATCGCAAACGGCAAAGGCGCATCGCAAGTCACTTTAGGAGGAGGCGTGAATTAGTTAAGCTAAACTGCGACATGCTCATCTTCCGGAAATATTACCAACAATCCATCAGGAAATGCTTTACCCTCTCTCGTTCTGTTGGTAAAGGCCTGTCAACAAATATTTTTCCTCCACGCCCCATAAATGGGACAGCTCATCGAATTACAGCTGGATTAGTCCAAAAAGGCGCAGTACTGTTTGCGGATGGGTCTGTTTTAGTTCGGATCATATTCTCACTACAAACGAATCGCTCCAGGGTTTGTTTGAAACCGTACAGAGACCACCTCTTTGTTTTGTGTTTACCTTATGATTAAAGTTGTTGCACGTCCGTCCGTCCTGCCTCAAAATGAGCGAGTTTGAGCCACTTGTACATTAAGGAAGCGTTCAGAAAAAACGAAACACCAGTGAAGAAACTCGACACATAAACACCAATTACCAACTAGCGTTTCTGAAGTGTTATTACAGAGCGACACAAACAGCGCGCAGAAGTATAAATACACAGCTACACGCATTGCATGCACCGTGGGCCATGCCGATCACTCAATGCAGAAGTGTAAACCAGGCTTTAGTCCCTTTGTTTAACAGGGGTCGTCACAGCGGAATAAACTGCCAACTTATATAGCATATGTTTTACACACCCAATGCCCTTCCAGCTGCAACCCAGTACTGAAAAACACCCATACACACTCATTCACACACATTCACTACGGCCAATTAAGTTTATCCAATTCACTTATAGAGCTTGTATTTGGACTGTGGGGGAAACCAGAGTAGCCGGAGGAAACCCACGCAAACACGGAGGGTACATGCAAACTCCACACAGAAACTAAGGGCCTACTCATTCTTTGCTATCCGAACTGTGCCCAAGCCCATTTTCCGGATTGTTTGAGAAGTGTGAGTGCGCTGAATTGGGCTCAGGCATAGTTCACTTGGCCGGCCCTGGCCCGGTTGAAAGAGGTGTGTCTGAGTGCGGTTCACTTGGGTTTTGGTGCGGTATGTTTGTAGTTTGAGTGCAAAGCCCGGGCCAAAGCCCGAAACTGAAAGCGAGACGTGACTTTAAGGGACTGTTTCATATGGATTTATTAATCACTCTTACTGTTCAATAAAGTCAAATTGCCCTAGATTATTAAAGACGCAAACCCCTCACTGCACGACAGCTGCGCACCTTAAGCAGACCTCCTCATTCTTGCAGCACGAGAGCTTTATGATTGTTTATGAGCGCCAAAAGTGGCGGATCTGTTCAGCGAAATATCTGACTGCGTGTCACCGCATCCCTAAGGACTGTTTGGCGAAATATTTGACTGCATGTCACTGCATAACAAACGACTGAAATGATATAACTTACTGAACAGCACAGTATCGATGACGTAAGCCTGCCCAGGCCCAATTGCAGTGTGAGTGCGGGCCGTCGAGGGAGACGGGAGGGCGGACAATCGTGCTTTGGCCCGGTTCAAGGCAACTGTACATAGTGCGAGTACGGCTTAACAGTGCTAACCACTGAGCCATGGTGTGGCCACTTTGCTGTAAAATATACAGTAATTTTCACATTACATCTTAAAAATACAGTAACATACTGCATAAATGTCCTACAGTAAAATACAGTTCATATCACAGTTAAATACTGTGTAATTTACAAAAATCGTCAACAGTGAATTTAAAACCTTGGAAAAAAAGTTTTGGTCCTAAATACTCCACAGAATCATACACTAAAAACCATCAATATCATCTTTGTATAAACCTACGAAAAAGTGTGTAAAAAAGGCCACACTTGAGCACTTTAAAAGCTTTTCTAGTTCATCCCGAATCCAGAAGATCCTCCTCACTGTACGAGTGAAACGCTGAGATTAAAGTTGCTCTTCTAATTAAGGAGGCTGTTTAAAGTAGCCTGTGAAGTTTGACAACAGCGGCGCTCACTTCACATTACAGCCTATAATAAGCAGACCAATTAAACTAATTGAATTTCTTTAGCCCGAAACACAGAGGGGGGAAAAAAATGTCTTTGATTAGACTCAAGCTGTTAAGTCCTTCCATAAAAAGCCGAGTCGGCTCTGAAAGCTCAGCAGATAACAATCCAGTCTCCTCCGCTAATTCACTGTAATTGTCTCAAACGCTCGAGTGTTTGAAGGAGGATTTCGTGAAAGCGTACGGTTAACGTTAGCACTGCGGTCACTCCTTTTAGAGGGTGTGATGATATACGTACATGCTAATTGATGATTACCGCACTGTGCGACATTCATATAGAGAGATGCTAATGTAGAGATGAATTGTGTTCACACTGCAGATGAGATTTTGTTTTATTTTTAGTAACTTAAATACTTTATATACTGATAGTCTTTGATGATTTGAA